TAAGTTGGAGATAAGCAGGTGACATTATTTCTGTCTTTTCCCCACAGGGACAAATGGCCAGAGAAGGAAGAGAAAGTCCGAAGAGCCGTCAAGCAGTACCTGAAATGCAACGTGACCCAAGCCAACCCTTTGGCGCCCTTGGTTCTTCCTCCCGCAGATTTTCTGCTCTCCAGTTTGTGCTTCGATGGGGCTTGCAAAGACATCCCCACCTACCAATCGGCCTTCAGGAACATCAGTTCCCTCCTGAAGCCAGGGGGGCACCTCCTGTTTTACACAACGCTTGAGGAGCATTACTACATGATTGGCCAACGCAAGTTCTCTGCCCTCTACTTGGAGAAGGAGGGGGTAGAAGAGGCAGTGAGACAGGCTGGTTTTGCCATTAAGTGGATTGAGGAGACCAAAATGAAGATCCCCCTTTCTATAGCTGATGGGAAGAAGCTGTGCATCCTTCTTGCCCAGAAATGTAGCCCATGAAAATTTGACAGCTGTCAGTGTAACATCCAAAGGTTTCCCTAACCATTGTAATGAATCTGTTATACAAATTAGGGAAAGCACGGACCACCTGGCTTCCATGCTCTTTTCCATGCCTTTCCTGGTAAACATCTAGCAAATGGCTCTGTGTGTAATAAAGTAACACCTTGCCTCTGTGTGTGTCTGTGTGTGTTGGTTTTTGCTTTCCTTGTGTTGTGTCTCTCTGTTTTCTATGTACGTGGATTCTCTGGGCATGTGTTGCCCTGGGCTGTCCTTGGCTCTGCCCCTTCTGAGATGCCACTGGCCGAGGGCTGAGCCTCTCTGTGCCTCTGGTGGCTGCTCTCCTCCAAGTTAGAGCCGCCTAGCCAGAGGTGGGTTGCTTCCAGTTCGGCCGAACCGGTAGTGGAATTCAGGCCTGGGTCGCAGAACCAGCAGCGACTGAGCCCTGCTAGGCCCCCAAAGTGGTTCCCTCGCCACTGCTGGGCTGCCACGATTTTGGTTTTCAGTGACTGTGCATGTGCACTGTAAATTGTCCTGCGCATGCATGAAGGGCAATGTACATTGTACAGCGCATGTGCGCATAGTGCAGGTCTGGCACACATGGGGGTTTCGAACTGGTATTAAAACTGGTAGCAACCCACCCCTTTCTCTGTCTGCTTCCCCAATGAACAGTAAGGTTGAGCCAGTTCAAAGCAGAGACAGATCAGCCACGGGGCCACCCCTGGTGGCTGGGGGATGAGGGAGCAGCCCAGAGGTGGGATTCAGCCAGTTCTGACCAGTTCTGGAGAACCGGCAGTGGAAATTTCGAGCAGTTTGGAGAACCGGCAGAGGCTGGCCCCGCCCCCTGCTGCCTCCCAGCCTCCCAGCTCTTTTGTTGCCCTGAACAGGAGAACGGAGCTGGAAAGCAGGTTAGTGGGGTGGGGAGGGAATGGGGATTTTGCAGTATCCTTCCCCTGCTACGCACACCAAGCCACGCCCACAGAAATGGTAGTAAAAAAATTTGAATCCCACCACCAGAGTAGCTCCCTTCACCCCTCTTGGTCTTATCCTCTTTTTAACTTCTCAGTAACCCACCTGTAAATGTCCCCCCACCCACATCTGGACCATGCAGAGATGGGTGAAACATATTGCACTCTGGTTCTTTGGCCGGGGGGGGGCTCCAACAGAGTTTGTCTGGGAGTGGGGTCTTTCCAGGACAAAGTGTGTGGTGGTGGGGGAGGAGGATTTGCCAAGCAACTGCATGCCAGAACTGTTTTAAGCTGGTGAACCACTTCCCTCCTCCACCTTGATAATAGGTCCCAAGGACTTTGGCATGGGTCAGGTTGCCCACAGGCATCCTTGTGGCAGGAATTCGTCCTGTTTTTTTAAAAAAATATGGTGCTGTCTGCAGAAGCAGAAATTGTGGAGCAAGTGAGGACAAGGAACCGCAGCTGGCAGAGAAGCAGAACAAGATAGTGCCCATGTCCAGAAGAGGCAATTGGTTGGCAACAAGGGTGGGTTGCTGCCCGTTTTACTACCAGTTCGCAGCCCCACCCCACCCCCGCTTGCCAGATGCATGCCCAGAACTATTTACAGTGAACTGCGCAAGTACTCTTGTGCCAGGGGAGACAAGCGATGGATTGGTGCAGATCGGAGCTGTCCAGGCATGTCTGATCAGCTATGCATTTTGCTCCTCACATGAAGATTTGCTTCTGCATCTTGGCAGAACTCCTGAATGCACGTAGCCGCTCATCTGCAGAGGTTCTGAAGACTCGTACAAAGGTCCCCTGCACGCCTTCAGGGCCCGAAAGAGTCTTCTGCAGAAAGGTGTCTTCAGAAGGTGGGAAGGATGGCACCATGCACACTATTTGTCGGAACCAGGTTGGGAAGAAGAGGTCTGAAGCTCCCTTGAGGATAAATGGGAGAGATGAGCTTGCAGGAGGTTCTCTTCCATTTATTTCCTGGAGGCTCACTGGGGTCATCCCACTTTCTGAATTCAACTTTAGGGGCTCTGCGCTAATATAAGGACATCGAGAGAGAGAGAGAGAGGATCAATATTCCCAAGTTCTGCCATTGTGCTTCTAATAGGCGTTGAGTAGGCTGGTGGCAGACGTGGTCACAGAAGAAGAAGGAGAAGGGGAAGGAGGAGGAGGAGGAGGAGGAAGAAGAAGAAGAAGAAGAGGAAGAAGAAGAGGAAGAAGAAGAAGAAGAAGAAGAAGAAGAAGAAGAAGAAGAAGAAGAAGA